GTAATTGTCCGTGTACGTTTGTTTTTTTTTTCTTTGTTCCTCTTCCTGTTCCTCTCTCTCTCTCTTAATTCCCTCAGTGTGGCTTGCAATGGTGTCGTACAAGGAGGGTGTTACGCGCGACGGCCGCAAGCGCGCCCCACGGCTACTTTTTGGTCTAAATGTCGTCCGGCCATTCCCGTGGATCCGTGTCTTGGTGGGTGTAGGCGCCATGGCGTTCGTGTTTCGGCAGCAGTACCTGGCGCACTACTACCTCTCGCCGGAGGAACAGTTTCTGCGCAAGATTGTGGTGGCCCCCTACGGCGTCCTTGGAAATCAGATGACGCTGCAGGGTAGCATGATCCGCGCCGGCGGCGAACCAGACGAGGGCGTCGTCGTGGTAGACTCCGCCGATCTGCGCCATATATTTACTACCGCAGATGGGGCAACAGGGGCCTCAGGGGCCATTTACAACTGGCTGAAGTTGCGTGGGCCTTTCCCGGACGAAGTTGTACGGGCGATATCGCGTGTTTGTGACGCCAAGTGGTTTCGGTACGGTGATAAAAATGTGATTCATGTCATTGCACCCGACTTCCGTGAGGGCACGTGGTCGGAGCGAGAGGCAGTGCTGGAGCTTTCCCGCGCCTACCGCAACGCACTGCATGAGTTTGTGATGAGTGACGGGAACGTGCTGCGGGTGGCCCCAATTTCTCACGGGGCACACTCCGGACCACTCTACAATCAGCTACCACCCCTCACTCAGTCGGCGCTGAGCATGGCATTTGAGCAGCTGCATGTCTTTGATCGGGAGTATCTGCTGCGGCGCGACAAGAGCATCGAGCTCTGCATCTTTATGAACAGAGAATGGGACATGTATCAGACCGTCTTTAAGACTCACAAGCAGTTGTTGGCGTTGTAGACTCTTAGAAGGAAAGAGAAGTGGGAGGGGAGGGAAGTAAGGAGAGAAGTACATGCATTCCATTTCTTGTGGCGTAGCTGGATAGTGTCATGAGTGACACCTGTGGTATTCTGGTGAAGACATTATAAGGCATAGCTGTCGCTTGGGTTGTTCCACACGTTTTCTTCCTTTCTCTCTCTGTGTGTGTGTGTGTGTGTGTGATTGTTTGTTTGTTGGCGGAGCAGCGTCACCAGGATTTGGTATAAATGCCGGTACAGATGCAAGGGGCAGACAGGGCTTATTTGCTTGCCTCCCTACGGGGGAGGAACGCACCTTATTTTTCCTTCTGGACGTCTTGGCCACCTCACACTTGATTGTCTAGTGGGAATAGTAGTGTTAGTAGCAGTAGTAGTAGAGGAAAGATCAATACGAATCGCGGCGGCGGCGGCAGCAGCAACGGCGGCAGAAGCAGGACGGAAGGCCGAGTCGGTGAATACCGCCTGCCACTTGCAGTTGTGGGAACCGTTTTTTTCTTGTTGTTGTTGCCTCCGCTGATTGGGTTCCTGGGCGTCTGAAAAATGCTGCGGAGGAGGGTGCTGCCTGACGGCCATCACCACGCCGCGCTGCCCCTGATTTACGGAGCGTCGCAGCACGGCATTAAGACGCTGGACGTGCGTGAGTACCGCCCGCTGGCGACTCCGATTGAGTTCCGCTTCTACCAGCGCTACGCCAATCACCCAAACCGGCAATCCGGGGTGCAATTCCTCACACACTACAACACCCACCAACGCTTCCGCGTGAACAAGGACTACATTGATTACATGCACTGGGGAAAGGAGCAGGGGCAGGCGCGTCTGCCGCACCGTCACCAGCGCGTCGCTTTTGACTTCAATGACCAGCTGCACCCTACGCGCGCGGTCGAGGGCAACGGCGACGCTCAGGCGTGGTGCGCGGAGCAGGACCCCACGATTGGTCCTCATCCAGACTTGGACGCATCGTTTGATCCAAATCGCCGCGTCTTCTCCCACCCAGAGCACTGGAACAAGATGTTCTCCAAACGGCGTCCCGGTGAAGGGCGCATTGACTTGCGTGTGCTGCCGTCGCGAAGTCTGCTTGGGCCGCTCATGGCACAATCGGACACGCGCGGGTCCGCCTACTTTCGCCTGGATAACCGCGGCCACAGCAACGGTAGGGTGCCCGGTCTGAATTCGCCCTTTCTTGGTGAATTTGATCGCCAGATGATGCAAGCCATGTCGAGACCACTCAACGCCGACCGCACATTAACCGGCAACGACGGCCGCTTCTCCAAGACAATCATGATTAATGAGCCCAAGACGCATCAGGCCCTGAGCGGGAAGACAGCCAGTGAGTTAAACACCGAAATTGATGTCGCGACCAACGCCGTTTACTCAAAGCTCACTGTTTTGGAGGCGGCACAGTCTGGACTCACAAACTATTTTTGTGGAGGCCTCAACTATGAGATGCTTGGATTTGACTTGCATATGGCAGAGATGCTGCGGGAACGGGCACATGCTATGCTTAACCGTGATGCGGGCGCCGCTGCCTCTTCTGCGACGCTCACGACATGCACTGATGCTACCAAAGCGGAGGAGCGCATGGTGGAGCAGCTCCTTCGGGATGCATTGAGGTATGAGGATCGTGCGGATGACGCTCTTCGTCAGCATGCCGCGCTTATCTGGCGGGTGTATACTGCCCCGCGTCCACTCATGGCACTGACGAATGGTAAGTGTCGAGGCACGGGCTGTGGGGTGTCTGTGTACTCCAAGTACTGCGCCCTCAAGGACGCGTCGGAGTTCATCTTTGATGGTCCGAATGTGGGCATCACCCCATATGGTGGTCTCACGCGTTTGCTTGCGCGTCCCGAGACATCGTTAAAATACCCAGGCCTGGCAGAGTTTATTCTCTTGACAGGCACTTCCCTTTTTGCAGGCGATGCCCTTCGTCTGGGATGGACCGATCTCTTTACAACTATTTCAGACATGAGCTACCATATTAAAGATTGGTTTGACACCACAGAGCACATGCACAATGATGCCATCGCCTGGCAGTTAGGGCATCTCCTCGAGACGTGCTTCAAGATGCGGGAGGCGCACTCGTCGGCGATGGAGCGTGTTGCCATCACGCCGGTGCGGGCCCGCTGGATCGAGGACGCCTTTGCCGATCAGCCCTCTGTTACGCACATCGTCGACACCCTTAGCGAAATTGAGCGTCTGCCTCTCACCGCGGAGCACAACACCTCGGACGACTCGCGCTGCACCCCGTATACCCTTGACAGTGTCGAGGCTGGGGTGTCCAAGTTGGAGCGTCACCGCCTACGCTACACGCACTCCCCATGGGACATCACCCCACCGAAGGATGAGGTGGCGCTTCAGCACGCGTCCGAAGTATTCAATGCCTACGTGCTGGAGCGGCGTGGCGCAGTGAATGCTGTCGTGCACAAGAACACCGATAAACTGGCCGCCTGGCAGCGCCAACGGCAAGAGGAATACCATGCCTACCGTAGTTTGCGTTCCGCACCTCACCCCCGTCATGTCTACGTTCGTCTGGAGGGTTGCGAAGGAAAGTTGGTTTCCTTTGATTTTGTCTTTTCCCTCCAACAACAAGTGAATACGGAGAATAAAAACCAAAAGGAGGGATCGCGACGCACCGCGTCTCTCGATGCGCTGAAGAAAAAGGTGCTGGTCTCCCTTGGGATGCCGGACGACCGCGACATCGAGCTGGGTTGGTATCTGCCCACGCTGGACACCTGCCCCATATACAGTGACGAAGAGCTCATGCAGGTGCTTCATGCAGATCCCGGCATTGAGGATCCGAAGTTAGCGTTAAAATACCCACCCATCTACTTTATCGTCAAGCGCAACACCCTGTACTTCTCTGAGTGGGCGTACGCGGTAAAGCATCAGCTGCTGCTGCAGTCACCCTTTGCGCTCCGGGCAGCTTATGAGATGCTGACAGAGGTGCGGGGCGATGGGTCGGCCGAGCGTGTTATGCCGTTGGCTGAGTCGCTCTCAACCGAGTTCAAGTACATTTCACGACTTCTTCGGCGACCCGACTTCTACCGCGTGGGCGTGCATACCGACAAGTCAGCAGAGGCGTGGGAGGAGGTGCGGGAGGAGCGGCGGCGCAACATCCACAAGACGCATCAGCCGACTCGACCATTGCCCGACTTTGAGGACGTCTTTGAGCGCAACGTCGAAATTGAGGGTCACCGATTCCTCCTGCGGCCTCGTTGGAACCCACGCACATTGCAAGACGTCGTGGAGGCGGACGTCGTGCGACTTCGCGCCCCTTTATCGTACGGTGATGAAGGCGTTGCCCCGCTTCACGTGCAAACTCAGTGTGCCAAGGCAAACCGTATCACTGGTATGGTGGAGGATGCGGGCGGCATGGAGGTGGTGCCGGGGCTCGGTGAGGTGGACGCCAAGGGAGCTCCTGTGACCCCGCCGTTGCAGTCCAACGCTCACGTGCCCCAAAATGTCAGCTTCTACGAAATGGCGCGGCACCCGTGGGAGGATACCGCCTCCTCTTGGCGGCGTGACGGCTTTACGGAGGGCTCCATGGCAAACTATGAGGCACAATACCTTGCCGCGGAACGTGCCGTGTATGACGAAGAGGGTCGCGGCGTACACAACTACTGGCCCTCTCGTGAGGCCTCGGAGGGCGTGACGAGCGAGGAAAAGGACACCGCGCTCTTGCAGGAGCGACTCTTCAAACCTCTTGAGGAGGCCATATCAGCCGTTGAGCCATGGGCTCGTAACCTGCGTCGCAGCGCAAGCGATGGTACGCTTGGGTACAAGGCGGAGATTGCGACACCCGAGGAGAAAATATACGACGACGAGTACTACCGCTGGTTTATTCAACCTGGTCATCACCCGAACCCAAGTGGCCTCACCAGCGTCAAGAAGGGGGCCTCGACGCAGCAGGGCACGGATGCGGCGGAGCTTGAGCGTATCTGGCGCAGCGTGGTTTCGGCTGAGGAGGATGGTAATGCATCAGATGTGGCAGACGTGGCAGCCGACGACGCGGAAGATGTGGGTGGTGCAGGCAGGGGTGAGGAGGAACTTACTGCGCCGATGGATGAGGACGATAGTGCCTAGCCAGAGAACTGGGGGCAGTGTGAACTCTGAAGTGGGATCCAAGGGACGTGAGAAGGAATAGCGGCAAAGTTGCGTGCCGGTGAGGTGAAACATGGACTCTGCTGTGGTAGTATGCGTCTCTATTCAAGTGTGTGTGTATGCGGAAATGAGGTGTGGGCTGTGTGGGGTGGAACGCTTGTAATGCACGAAGATCAGAGGAGGAAATCAAAGCAAAACTCACATGGATGGTGACCATCCTCCTCCTCTTTTTTGTGTTTTGGTTTCTTTTGTATCGTGCCTCTTATTTTCTCTACTTCTCGCGCGCACACACACACACACACACAAACATTCTGAGAGTGAGAGAAAGATTGAGTCACTAACTGCGAACATGGTACACGCGTTACGTGCATACATCTGCTTTTCGTGTTTGCTATTACAAGCTTCCCTTTCTCCCTCTCTCATTTTTTTCTGGTGTTTTCTCTCAACATTTATATTCCGTTGTCTATTATCTTGCTGTGTTTCTGTTCTTTTTTCTTTTCGCATTTAACCTGACAGGTGGAGCAAAGAGAGTGAGAGTCGAAGAGACCAGCTCAGTCGCGCCCCCCGTACAC